ACCTCTAAATAAATAATATCTTCAATGTTTAACCTCTTCCAATAGCTTTATTTTTTTAATTTAATTATTCTATCATTATCTATCTAAAATGTTCTATAGAACTTCCTCATTTAATTAGTCGGTTTTTAAACATATATTATATATTAAATGTCACAAACAAACAAAAATATAAATATAATTATATATTTATATTTTTGTTTGTTTGTGACATTTAATATATATAAACCTAACATAATTATATTCAATTTTTAGGCTATTATAACTTGGTTAAATCCGAACCGATTTTCAAAGTATAACTGTTTACGAATTTCGATTAAGCTATGTATAACTCAAAACCCGTTTCGGGTTAGCATATAACTATTCCGATGAGGCTATGTATAACTAAAAAACAAACAAAATATATAAAAATAATATGAAATAACATATTCCAACAAAACGCGAAAATATTAAAATTAAATAACGTATTACGATATTAGATAATGTATTTAAACAAAACATTAATTTTTTTATAAATTCTCAATCATAAAAATAAAGATATAAAATAACTAATCATATATTTATTAAATAATAAGATAAATAATCTAAATTATTGATTTAATGAAATTAAAACAAAGTTAATAATTACAAACTAATTAACAATTCTTTATTTTTCTAATTTAAAAGTCTTTTATTTTTTCGGGGGTTTATTCAAATATATATTTAGTGTCGTTTTCTTTTTGACGTTTGGTTCGTTTTTTTTTTCCAACTTTTAATTTTTTGTTTGTTTATATTATTTAATCATAATTTTTGACGTACTATTCATTTATCCAAAACTGTCTTTTAATTAAATATATTTACATATACGTATAAACAAAAAATAGTTAGTATTCAAACAATTAACCTTAAGTCATTGTTTTTTTTTCAATAAATATATTTATTCATATTTAGAGAGTGAGATACTTTTTTGTTTTTTATGAAATCTACGTGATAAAAAAGAGTTTGTTCTACCAACACCCGTATTAAAGAGTTAGTATATACATATAAACATGAATGGCGTTAATAAAAAATTTTGAAACGTTATAAAAAGTTTAAAGAAAAGCTTGAAAAAAAGAGCTAGTGAAAAAAAATTAATATAAACATGAAAAAATGTAAGTAAAAAATTATACAAATATTAAGAAAGCTCAAAACGTTTTAAAACTTAAAATATTATATATATATATATATATATATATATATATATATATATATATATATATATATATATATATATATATATAATATATTATATATATATATAATGAGGGTTTTTTTTAGCATGACCCTATCATCAAGTAGAAAAACAACATTTGATTTACCAAAAAACATTCTTAAGAACCATAAGAATCTGATATCCAAGGATTTAATGATACAAAGCAATATGAGATTCATTTGTGAGGATCCATGAAATAGTCTCAAAACTGATAATAAAAAATATTTATTCTCAACAAATAAATATGAATTTGATTTATATCTAATAAACGTATGCATTCCATGAATCTCGATCCAACTTCAAATTAATCTTAGATCATGAACATTCAAGACAATTACCAACACTATTCATGGACACTATAATAAAATGCTAATTAAAACTTAATAGTAACGCCTATATTCTTTTATTGAATCAATATATATATATATATATATATATATATATATATATATATATATATATATATATTGTATCCATTACTTTGAATACAATTTACTCACACACATACACATATGAATGTTACATTTTACACAACGAACTTAACAAATACCCTTTGACGCATCATATACTCAATTTAGCATCTAAAGAAAGAATTGTGTTGATTAATTGGGTTTTTAGTTTTTGTTTATTGTCTCATAACCCTGTTTGAACTATACACAAAGTTTTCTTGACCAGCAACAGTGGAATTAAGCCTTCCAGCAGCCCATCCATTGTTCACCATGCGGGTCCCATCAATACGCTTATCGAATTCTGGCAGTCCATTTGCTTTTCTCTCTTTCCTTCTCTTCCTCTCCTCATCTCGCTCTTTCCTCAGCCATTTTTCTACCGTTCTCTGTAACAAACAATCAAACAATTTACTATCTACTGTCTACTGCCTATTGTCAGCTGTCAACTGTCTACCGTCTACTGAAAGTAACTTGCATCTACTTTTAAGTTCAAAATGAGACTATTTGACCAAAAGTCAAACATTAGAAAGAAATTGGTCGAGTGCATGTGAAGATAGAGAAACTGACCATTAGAGACAAATTGCTCATCTTTTTGACCTCTTCCATAGGCAATGCTAATTGTAGCTTCCCATGTGCAACATAAACCTAATACAAACACAATGATTTAATGAGCTTATTGGGTTAAGTATTTAATCAAAAAACCCTGGCTTAATGTATTTACCTATTTGCCCTTTTTTTCTCCCCAACTCTCACATTAAGATTGATGAATATTATGAAATTTGTTTGATAGTAATTGAAAGCTTACAATGTGTGAAGGCCAATTCTCGAGTCCATCAAATATATGTGTAGCATATATGATAGTAGCACCATGCTCTTCACATTCCTTTTTTAGGAAAGTCAAAAGGTCAGCCCTTGCAAGCACATCTAGGTCAACCGTAATTTCATCAAGAAGAAGAACCTATACAAATCTCAAATGTGTTCATTAAACAACATTCATCAACCAAACAAAAATATCAAAAAAAGAAAAGAAACCAATGTCATATTCTTTTTATGTAATGATGAAAGGAAAGCATTTTTAGAAAGCATGACATGACATGATATGACAGAACGTAAAAAGTTGTTCTGCATTTGATGTGTGACTTTGACTGTGATTGAGACTGTGTTAATTTAATACCTTAAATTCCTTTAGAAGGCCCATGCATATTTGCACTCTTCTTCTTTGACCATCAGAAACCTTGTGCATCCTCCATGAAAGATCAATATCTAAAACCTGAAATATTCAACACATTTCCTTGGGTTTAAAGAGAAAAATGCATAGAATTAATATGGACTTTTTGAAAATGTCAATCTAGAGATGGGTTCTTTTTAAAGTGTGGAAAAAAGTTCAAACGGATAAAGTAAATTGGAAAACAACTACAAAAAGAATAGAAAAAGATATCAATTTAAAGAAAATAATGCAAAAATGTTTGAAGTACCTTGATTAACTCAGCTCTTCTTTGAGGATCAACCCCTGATACTCCAAATAACATTTTCTCAGCAGAAATATCCATTTGTATTGCAACATCAAACCCAGCAAAAGCAACTTCCCTTCTCCACTGCTCATTTATATGACTATTTTTTAGAATAAGTTCCCTTCTCTCTTTATGGGATCTAATTAATACTTGATGCAATTAGTTTAATTTGATTGATTATAGTTTTATATATTTTAATATCAAGGTGTCATTTGCAACTCTTTGAACCTAACTATTGATGAATTTCTTAAAGGGTGATTTTGTTATCTTCAGTTGTATGCTAATTTCATGGATCTAAACAACTATGTGGATTTAAGGGATATAAAGAGTTGATGGTATATTATAAATATAAACAAGACACATTTTAATTCTAAAGATCTAAAACATATTGTAAATACGCTAAATCAATCAACACTGACAATATATGAAATGTGTCTAAATTCCTACTGATGCACACCTAAAAATCCAAGTTATGTGGTAACTGTTAACTGTAAGAGATGGAAATTCGTAGAATTTGTGCTTCTTCGGGCTAATGATAGGTAAGTAATTTGACATTTATCTAGATCAATCAAGTTTTTCTGAAATTGATTGTTTTTGAGCCAAAATACTGTGAAAATCCCAAGTGAAAGTGAAGCAGAAGTAATGTACCTCTCCACCAAGATAAGCTAGGTCACCGGAAGAAGTCAAAGAGGTGTCATGGAACGCCGATCTGCCAAGAACCCTGACCATATCAGGCTCCACCATATGCTTCCCTCCAAGTATCTTCAGTATCGTCGTTTTTCCTTTTGTTTAAATTCAATAAAATTTCACGATCGATATGGATAGAATTGAAATTTGAAAAAAAGGACGACAGAAGGAGGACGAACCAGCGCCATTAGATCCGACAAGAAGGCAACGATCACCGGGATTGAGAGTGAGGGAGAAATCTTCAATGAGAGGAACTGAACCAGGAGGCGGATGGCCGTCGATCCCTGGGTAGGTGAACTTGAGCTTATTTATAACCACCATTGGATTATTATCATTTCGCTCATTGTCATTGATCCCCATTATAGCTCTTCAATCAAAGAATTCTGCAAGGAATAGGTGATGAAAGTTGGGGTTTATAAAGAACTTTCCGGCGGTGGGTGGGTGGAGAGTTGAAGAGCGGGAACTGATTGTCGTGGCAGGGCTTTGAGTCGCTAACACCCCCTCGCCTACAGAATCTGGTTCCAAATGTGGACACGTCTACTTTGGGGCTCTTTTATACATCGATCATCAATGTTGTTTTAACTTTTCACTCTCAACGCCATTTCACCATTTTCATATAACTTCATCATAAATCCATAGTTAGATAAACCCTAGAATGAATATGGGTATTCTATTCCAATCCCTTCGTTTTTAACATTGATGTAACAACATATTCATAACTTTGAATATCTCTATATGTAGATTCTCTTTATACTGTAATAAATAAAGAGATTTTACAAACAAGAAATCATGTACTTTTTTTTTTCGTGACACATATGCCTAAAATAGTAGGCATACACATGTGACATGTTTGGTCAATATTTACATGTTAAATGCTTAGAGCATTTATCTAACTTCCATATATAAATAATAACTATATTACATTATAGATGGATTATAGGACATTAACATCATGCATTCAAAATTTTACCTTAACGAAACCAAATTAAAATGTGGCAAGCAAGGAAAACCTTGACACAAAACATAAAATGGAGAATTAACCTAAGTAGTTCACCATGTGAAAAGGTACATTAAACAATTTAGGTATTTATAAGAAAATTTGATATAGTTCACCATGTGAAAAGGTAATCATGATATATTTCTTTAAACAATTTTGGTACTAATTTATATTGTTGTTCTATACATAATACAACATTAATGATACAAATTACACAACTAAGCTCCCACGAACAATTTCAACTCTCTGTAATGTTCCTACATTTATAAAACCGAATGTATATACATGACTTCAACTTTTCTCAATTTGAGATTTTCATCATCAATCTTTAACACATGTAAAAGTGTTGGGTGTTAATTTAATAAAAAAAATAAAGCTAAATTGATTGAGGAACTAGTTTTTGATGGAATACAGATAAAAGGTGGGTAAGGGTAATCTTGTCATATTGCTTTAGCAAACCATTTTGGCAATCTCAAAGAAGCCTTCATTCCAAGCCTTGTAAAGAACAGAGCATACAGAAGATGTAGCAAGAACACAAAGAAACAGCAATTCAGTAATAGCTGCCAAAAAGACAAAAATCATATAGTGTAAAAAAATCAAATCTTTTATTAAATTGAATTAACAGATAATTGAGAGGGTAAAAAAGACAAACCAAGGTCCCAAAAATGGTGTATATTAAATTCATTGATGGAATTGTCAAGAACCCTAATGAAGTGAGGATAAATGTAGCTGAAGCATGAATGTTTATAGTGATCTTCAAGAAAAAAAAATGATTATCAGAATATGGGGGGTACTAAAGTAATTTAAGATATGAAGATTGAAGAATGTAAATTTACCAAAGCAAGAATGTTTTCCCTGATTAGAAAAGAATACATCACAACATATCCCATTGCACCTATAGCTCTCACCTGTATTAAATTTAAAGACACGTGTCACAAAAACAGTAAAAAATCATCCTTAAAAGATGAGAGAAAAAGAAGAAAGATAGAAAGCCTTACAATTGCACTTGTGAATATAGAAACACCCCAATTTGCTTTTGACCTGAGAAGTGAAGATTGAAGATTGAAGAATATTCTTGTTTTTTTTTTTCATAATTCATAATTGAAAAGATTGCAATAAGGAATAAACAATTGTATACCTCCATAAAGACCCCATAGCAAGACCAAGAAACCCATGCATTAACTGAAATGATAGAAATAAGCCAAAATGTAAACCATATATATATATATAAAGTTAAATACTTAAATGATATAAAGATATGAAACTATTTTCTAACCAGATATGTTAGTGCTTTTATTGGTCCAGCTAAAACAAGCAATAGTGTAGCAGTTGCCACCTATAAAAATATGATATGTAAAATGGAACACATCAAAGATGTTATTTTCAGGAATATGGTAATAATGATTGGTTTTGGTTAGATAATGGATACCATAGTCTTTCTTCCAGCAACAATATCCCATCGCATTGATGAGAATACTATGGGTAAGGCAAAGAAACAACCAAAGTAATTCTGTAAATATTGTAATTGTTAGTTTTCAATAACGCCCACCATGTGTTCGACATAATGCAGAGTCAAAAAAGTACCTCGATAGCAAGGGAGCTGCTTAAGATGTAGGCTAATCCACCAAGAGCAGCAAACATAGAACATTCTACCAACCTTAAAGTCTTCTGATAAGCTTCTCCATTCATGGTCAAGTCTTCAGGAGAACCGGAGTTATCTTGTTTGTCGTCTTTTTGTGTCCATAATGGAGCTCCGATTTCTGAAACCCTAACATTTCTGAGGTTTGAATTGGTTCTAGAGATACGAAATTGGGGATTAGAAGAAAGGATTGAGGGTGATGAGACGTGACAGAGCTTGGATTTATCGTGTGTTGTAAGGGAGGTGGCATGGATATTCTGGGAAAGATGAGAAATTGGGGGTTGAAGACGATAACAACCATGAACTTTAAGGATGTTAATGGTTGCTGAAGGAAGCATGTTGTTTTCTGGCAATTCTCTTTTTGTTTATAGCAACAAAATGCTTTAAACACGAAAGGGAGAAACTCAAAATCAAAAATTAACAACGTCTTCGTGTTTCATTGAAAAGATGGAACAGTCTTACCTATAGGATTTATGTGGTTTACAAGTCTACAATTGGAAAGGGATCAAGCACAGTAACTTCAGAAACACGAATAGGGAACATAAATTTCATGAAACAGAGGTCATGAATCGATCAAATTGAGTAAATTTACAGCAACATTTGATACAAAAAAACATACACCAAACTAAATTGAGTGTGGAATTGATGGATAACGAAAAGTTTGAGTAGGTAATTACTTGCTCGCCTGCTCGAAACGATGAAGAACATCCACAACGTCTCAGGAGACTCAGTTTACTCCATGAAGTTCATTCGAGTTTCTTGAGTGAAGTCATGTCATTCTACTATCCTTACATTTATCGAGAAATTATAGAAGATGTCCCCCAAAAAGTAAAACTTACAAATATGCCCCCTGTATAAGAAATAGTTATAGAAATAATCCCTACAGTTATATAGAAACGTTACCTCGTTGTAAATCTATCCTCTATCCTAATAAATAAATGAAGTTTTTTTTTGCCACATGTCACATTCTAAATCAATTGGTCAAATGTCATTTTCTGGTTATTTTGAACTAGGTGTGAGACCCGTATATTATACGGGTTAATTTAAAAAAAAAATTAAATATTAAAATGTAAACAGTAAATATTTTTGAAGGTAAAACTTTAAAATAAGAAAGGAAAAAACATATTCATTGCAATTTAATTTCATATATATTATATTTAATACTTTACATATACAAATATATGACTTTAATTTTAAAAATTGAAACAAACCATAAATTGACAAGTGGATAATATTTATTTTAAAAATACCATAAAATGACAAGTGTCAAAATTCATGAGAGAATGACAAATGGCAAAAAAAACCTTCATTTATTAGAGAGGATGTCACATTCTAAATCAATTGGCCAAATGTCATTTTCTGGTTATTTTGAACTAGGTGTGAGACCCGTATATTATACAGGTTAATTTAAAAAAAAATTAAATATTAAAATGTAAATAGTAAATATTTTTTAATGTAAAACTTTAAAATAAGAAAGGAAGAAACATATGCATTGCAATTTAATTTCATATATATTATATTTAATACTTTATATATATAAATATATGACTTTAATTTTAAAAATTGAAACAAACCACAAATTGACAAGTGGATAATATTTATTTCAAAAATACCATAAAATGACAAGTATCAAAAAAAACCTTCATTTATTAGAGAGGATTATATTTTTTTTCCACATGTCATTTTATGGGTTTTCCTATTTTATTAAATTCCATATAATATTTTAATGTAATAATTACAATAAATGTAGTAATAAATGGATATCAATTTCATTAATGGACTTACCTTCTAATTTTAAAATTCATAAATTAAAGTTCATTAGTTTCTTTTGTTTATTTATTTATTTTTTTAAATTAAAAAGATAAAAAAAAACATTTCAAGTTTAATAATACATTAATTTCTTATTTTCTTATAAATCCAAAGTTCTCAAATATTTTGACCTTCATATTTATTTATTTTTTAAATTAACCTATTATGGGTATCACAACTAGTTATATATTGTGTAGGGAAATTACAAAAGTATCCTTATAGTAATCGATAAAATTAATGAAATAATCCTTGTGTAAAAATTTAAAAAATGGTCTATATCTAGAAAATATTACCGACATTGTGCATTTGAAAGAAAATTATTGACATCAGAAATGGTTGAAATAATACATATGCAATAGCAAAATTACATAATAACAAAATTAGATATGATCCACTTGTAATAAAAGTTACAAAAGGTATCTATGTATAATACAGAAATGGTCATTTTGTGTTAATATCAAAATTATAAAAATAGTCCCTCTGTAACAATAACGAAATTACAGAAATAATGCAAGTGTAATAATATATTACAACAATGATAGGTAGAATTTCATATATATCCTAATGATATTCTCGGTGTAATAACAAAATTAGATAATTAGATCTCTAGCGATCTTTCTTTTTTAATCATTTTGCTTTATATCAACATTGTGCATTATTTAATTCAATCGAAAATATAAGATTAATAAAGTCGTCGCAACGTGTATGTTATCATCACGAGTTTTATTAATTTTTGTTCCAAATGTTGTATAATTTTTTAGAGAAAATTACATGAATAGTCTACGTGGTATTGTTTGATAGTCCCTAATTTTTAATTTTTACCAGCATCGTCCTTTTGTTATTTTATTATTTTTCCTATGATTTTCGTCTGACAACAATACCCTTTATGATTGTTATTTTGTATTTAGTAATTTTTTAGTTTTTGTATTTAGTTTTATGTTTATTCTTTGTTGTTGGAATTCACCTTTTTACCACACTCACCCACTTTCCTCCCCTCCATGGTTTTAGATCCAATGAGCACCACCAATCAGCTCTAGATCATTGTTGGCAACTACCACTGGTCACCTCATGTTCACCTTTGGCAACCACCAATAGTCACCTTTGGCAACCATCACCAGTCAAATAAATATCAAAACATGTGAGTTGTTTCTTTTCAAATGTTGGGTGACCAAGACATCAGTAAACGTTCATTAACCAAATCATGATTAAACTGCTAATGAAGTACGTGATAGAAGAGGTGATCAGAATGAGTCGCCGACCATATGAATCTATTGAACCAGAGCAAGTTGTCACCAAGGTCGCATCGGTTAAGGACGTATCCACAATTCGAGCCTCGATTGTTGGTTCGCTTTCTAATTTGAACTCTTTTATAACACAGCCCATAAATCGATAAACAAAAACAATTAGCTATATGTAAATTACATTAATTTTGCGGAAGAATTTTGAGATTTTAAGGAATGGATCCATGAAGATTTGATTTTTTTAGTAACTTACCAACAATAGTGGCGTTATCACATCCTTGAATCAAGGTACCACAACAGAAGCAACAACCACTAGCAGTGTAACACCTGGTTTTTCGTAATAGATATTATTTCATGAGAGGTAAATTATATGAGATGAATATATGGAATAAAGCATAGAGTTACTTTAAAAAGAAATGTTATTTAGCAAAATATAATTGACTAGAGTTGTAGATCTTGTTGAGACGATTTCGTGGATATAAAGATCATCGAAAACGAAGTTCATATGAGAAAGTTATGGCTGTTTGAAATTGAGACAAAAGTATGTTGCTATTTTGAGAAAGTCAATGGAAGTCAAAGTCAAAATGGTCAAATTGTGGCTACAGCGGCGCGACATGATGTTCACCACTGCGCGGTAATGAGCGAGTCACCGAGACACGTGGTAGAAGAGAGTGGCATGTAGCGAAACCAGGCAATGCACCGTCACCGCGGCGCGGCGCGACGCGTCCAGACTATATATATATATATATATATATATATATATATATATATATATATATATATATATATATATATATATATATATATGTGTGTGTGTGTGTGTGTGTGTGTGTGAGTGTGTCTGTGTGTGTGTGTGTGTTAGGGGTCAGGATCCTTAACCCTATCCAGGATCCTGAATCTGGAAGGAATCTTAGGATCCCGAAACATACATCGGGATCCTGATCATTATTCCTTAAACAAAATTAACGACTATATTTCTTGTTTATTTTTCATCTATACAGAAGCAGTCAACTAAAGGCTCCTTATATTTGAAGAATCATCTCAACCAGGCTTAAGACCCGGAAATACTAAAACAAAGCAATTTACGAATACGTATTCAAGAGGATCCCAGAAATATCAGACTTTTAGTTATCCAAATTAGTGTATAAATACACATGTATAATTCACACTACCCATAACTAGAGCTACTAAAATACTCGTACCTGTATTATTGTCATAATTTATGTAATTTACATTCTAATTAATAAATTAAAACAAGGGAGGTGATCATTATCACATCCCATGGTTTTATGTTGGAGATCCTATTAAGGATCAATTGTTTTCCTTGTAAACCACTCATGTCATTTTGATCTCAATTTGATATTCATAATATCTACAACACCACAACCTCTCATACAAATTTGGTTGATTGTCATTTGAATTATTTTTGACCAAAACAATTTGGCGTCCACCGTGGGGCCGTGGTGTTCATAATCCTCGAAATAATGTCTACACAACCAACCCTATCTTCTTCCTCTATTCTTCCTATTTCTTCGAAAAGCCTTCCACCACCTCCGAGAGGACTCCCTGGTCAAAGGAAAACTTACGATGCATCGAAGAAGAGCATTTCTCCAATTATTAACCATGGGAATCCATAATCCCTGGGATCCCAGGATCCTCCTGCTTCGATCTCTAACAACGAACTCTTCTCCATGATGAAGATGTTGACGCAACAGGTGACTCAACAACATGAAGACAATAGAACACTGCTCAAGGAGGTGGAAAGGATAAAGCTATTGAAACAATCGTACTTGTATTCTTGTCATCATTTATATAACTTACATTCTAATCAATAAAATCAAACAAGGCATGTGATATGTAACATCCATAAAATTCAAACCAATTTAAAACTTTTTCAAGCATTAAAAAAGCTTTCATTATTACAAAATGTTTTCAAAATAGTTTCATATCAGAGTATCCCAGAAATCAAGATCATAAAAATATGAGGAGGTGCACGATCACGCCTTCGCCTTCCCGCGATCATCTGAAGTACCTGAAACAAAATCTAAAACTGTAAGCTCGACGCTTAGTGAGTTCCCCCAAAATACCCGCACAACAAATAACACACATATAATAAGAGCATACTATGGGCCCAATCAACCATTGGGTTGGAATGCCCCAGGCCCTCAACCATCGAGTTGGAATGCCAACATACTATGGGGTCCAATCATCCTCGGGATGGTATACCCTCGGCCCACAACCATCGGGTTGGAATGCCCACATACTATGAGTCCAATCATCCTCGGGATGGAATACTCTTGGCCCACAACCATCGGGTTGGAATGCCCTGGTCTATTGGCTCTCGTACAAAGCGGATAAGCCTCAACCATCCATCAATCATGTGCATATATATTAGATAATCATATAACAGTCTACAGACAGACAAACCGATCTACAGATCACTAAGCATAGCAACATCCGATCTACCAGGATACCGATCTAACTGATCATAACCACATAGAACATCCTATCTACCAAGATACCGATCTAACAGATCACACTAACAATAAAGCAGGATAACAATCCAAAGGGTCGTCCTTGGTGCCTTCGACCCTTGAGTATAGTGAGGAAAACTCACATCACAATGTCGATCAGACTGAAATATCAAACTCCCGAAACACGGCTCCAAACACCAACACCTACAACCACCAATGATCCACTTCCATAAATTCCTAATTTACCAAAA